AAAACGTTCTGGGGGTATAAAACGCAACAAATTCAAGCGGAGAAACTTGCGCTAGCAACGTCGTAATAGGATGTGGCAGTATAAACAGCTAGTTGTTTAAGGTATAGGATTCAATTGCCGTAATATGCTGCAGCGAGAATTATTGCGTAGAACGGATCCTCGAATGCACGTAGATTAATTCGGAGCACGAACTTGGGATGTGCGTACTATTCGACTTTAATCCGAGGAAAGTTCAACGTCGGCAAACGGCTTACGAGGCTTTACGGGAGACTTTCGCATGCGGAAGTAATGCTTGGATCGAATCTCATTTCCTTGTTCTGGTCATTATCTGCCTCGATAGTTGAGATAAAATTTCAGAAACTTCGCGAGATATCTTACAAGCGATAATCACTGTAAATGGAAAAAGCTATCTTTCCCAAAATGTAATTCAATTAACAACATTGTAGTAACGCGTAATTTCGTAAATTAACGCGTTCTGTATATAAATTAAAACATGAAACGTGTTTAATATTATATCGCAAATTATATAGGCAAATACATTCATGTAAATTATAAACATAATAACTTACAACTTTTTATGCGATCTGATACATGTTATACGTATATATCCATATATAAAATAAATTTTGTAAAATGGAACTGAATTTTAAAGCTCCACGTTCCCAAGAACGACGAGCTAATGCTCATTTTCTTTGCATCAAGAAGAACGAGGGCTTAATTGACTGTGACCGATTGGTTGATTCATTGATCGTGATTAATTCTTGTAATCTTGTTGCAAAGGACGTTGCACAATTCGCGGTGTTCACTCGCAGTTTCCTTTCCTTCGCATCTTACAAATGCAGATTCATCGTCTTGGGTGGCTTTTTGATCACGAACGATTAACCTCGTACAGGAGTACTCTTGTATTCTGACGAGCAATACTCCGGAGCAGTTGGAACAGCGCCAAGGCTCCTCCTGGACCGTCTCTCGTGCATGGCATGTTCGATAACAACTTTGCTGATTCCGCTGTTAGATAAGCGCCCCCCCCCTCTCTCTCTCTCTCTCTCTCTCTCTTTCTTTCTCTTTCTCTTTCTGTCTCGTGAGAGCCGGAATAATTTTGTTCGCCAAAGATTGAGTTGCACGTTGAATTTTCTTTTCCTCTATCACAAATATTTTGACTACTGCGTGTTCGCGAAAAGAAACCACGTTTAGATGCTCGGCCGCGACATTCGTGACGGAGAGAATGCACAAGTGGCGTTTCTTTAATCGTTTCTTAAGTGGAAGCCAGCGGAAAAAAATGTTTCGTGACTACAAGAAACCGTTCATTCCGCGAGCCGTTAAGAACGATACTTGATGTTTACGAAGGGTATTAAGTCTAATTTGGCTGTTGATTGTTTTTGCAGGTGACTCATTGCAGTGCACACCCCTGGATCGAGCATACAAAAGCAAAGTATTAGGACATTATCCAGACTCGGTACCATGGAATCCGTTCGACGAACACGCTGTCTGCATGGTACGTGTATCTGTTATGACAGCCAATTGTTGATTACAGTTATGTCGCGTGTTATAAGTTAGTAATGAATATAAATTTGTGTGTATTAATATAATTCATTTACTGTGCTACAATAGCTGAATTAATTTGTAACATTTATTTGTTAATATATATCAACAAGTTCATACATGTATTTGTCGCAAAAATAAATGAATCTAATTAATTAAATTAATAATAATTAAATGTAAAATAGAAAATTTACTCTATGTCACGTAAGAAGCTGTCAGACTCGAAGTGTTTTCAGTCGCGTTCTAATTAGATTCAGGAAACATTTGTGTCTCGCGCAGTCGAGGGGAGTAACTTATCGATTACATTGATAATAGCTTTGTCTGCCAAGCGGTTTGCGATTCCGTACGCAAAAGCACTCGGTGGAGCCGACCTTCCACTCCTTCGTCCTCACGAAAGAAGACGGTCACAGGACGTACGGGTTCAGCCTTGTTTTCTACGAGGAGTGCCGCAATCGCAAAATATGCGCCGCTATGCAAACGCTACAGGCGATGCACATCACGGAGCTCAGCAGCGGCCAAAACGGCACGCCTCCTACGTACGTTTGCTTTCCGTACAAATTCCGTTTCTAATCTTCTCCTATTTACTCGCGTATATATCTCTCTTTGTGTCAAATGTACAAAAATCTTTTTCAGTGTCAAATTTCTCGATAAATTGAAAATTCTTATTTGTCTTTCTAATTTTTATTGAGGCAAAGATTACTTATGCGAAATTGAAAGCTCAGAATTTGATAAACTAATTCGTCGTTTCGAATTTGGACAATCTTTAAAATGTAAAAATATCTGAAAAGTGCGTTTGACATGCACTACATAGACATACGTTAAATAAATCCCTTTGGCTTTCTATATTTCGGAACTTGTTAAACACGTTTCGCAATTTTTCAGTGCGAGGAAGGGTCAGGATGGACATAATACGAGATCGCTGCCACGTCATTTTAAATTGTCAGCCCATTCGCCCGGTGCTGCATTAGGATATTATGACTCTACCAAAGACAAGTTGCTAGTGACGAAATCAATATCCTTGCTATGCCAACAACCTTACCTCCACGCGGCAAAGACGTTCCTCACTAATCTCTATAAGTAAGATATTCCGCGAGTCTTATAAAGCTCCATTGAAACAAGCTGACACAGCACTCCATTCTTCTTATATAACTACATTTATGCTATGCTTCGTAAGAGCACTTACAAGTGATAATATTATATTAAAGCGCTGCATAAACGTTGTCTGTTAATGAACATAGAAGACGGGAATTTAATTTTTTTAAAGAATTTGTTAATTAATAGTTTTTTTTTAGTAATTTGCTTATCTTATCACCGTTAATTTTTAGACGGGCTTCTCAAATATTATGTTTAAGCTCGTTATTTTCAGCACAAAATTCTGCAAATTACTGACGCAATGCAAACATACAACAATATCTTTATTAAGTGCTATGGAAATATTTTTTACTGCATCCATGATTATTATAGTCAAATTAAAACGATTAAAACTTTTACAACATGTAATACTGCTAACTATGTTTTACCGATTATTTGAAACATTTGCACAATTTTTTCGGGATAATTAATCAACGGTAAACTAAACGAAAATGTCAGCCTTTTGTATGCTGTGTAAATATCGTTTGTTTACAAAGGATCTTTTAGAAGTGATAGATATACTCTGTTTGATAGAACTTATGTATAACAAGCTAATGTATATTGTGATAATATTAGAGATTTTATTACATAATCAGCGAATTTTTTTTAATTTTTTAGGTGTGTTCCTAGACATCCCGGACCTGGTCTTAGCTTAGAATCTTACGTGTATAACCTTCTGTATAACGTACCAGTACCGTTACCCGGCAAATCGTTGAAGTTTTTCGTACCTAATGATGAACCGGCGAAATCGCCGTTGGAATTGGTTATCCATCAACCATCTCCATCGCTGGAACTACCGATGTTGGACTATCCTCTCAAGGACGTGTTTACGTGGTTGGGTGCAGACTGCCTAATCCAATTGTTCACTTGCGTGCTGTTGGAGAACCAAGTTCTCTTGAGAAGCGCTGATTTTCACAAGCTGATGGTGGTGTCTGAATGCATAACGGCGCTCTTGTTTCCTTTCTCATGGCAACACGTTTATGTACCGATATTGCCGGCGAGTCTGCATCATTTCCTAGATGCACCTGTGCCCTTTATAATGGGTCTGCATGCGCACAGTGAGGGTGGCGTACTAAAAATCGCTAGCGAGGTAAGTTTTTGTAAATCTTCCTTCTATATCTCATTTTTTTATTATATTCGAGAAAAGTTATGTTCTGTGAAAGATTAAGACAATTTTGTGTGCTACTAGTTATGAATAATACCAATTGCGTTTGATTACAGGCAAACCTTTGTTATGTAGATATAGATAAGCAAAGTAGCCAATTTCCGGAAGAGTTACCTATATTTCCTCATAAAATGCAATTTATTACTGAAATCAGAGCGCTTCTAAACAAGTACAAAATACCACATTCAGGAAAGTGAGTTAATTATCTATCTTTAAATCGAGGAAATTCGATTAGTGCTACTCTGTATCTAAATCGAGCGAAATCTTTATAGGACTGATAACATGGTCATTAATTATTACAATGGCGACATCATGACCAGCAGCCTGACGCTTCCCGGTTCTGGTTTTCATCTTCCTCGCAGAAAACATTCTTTGCACGATGTGCTAGATTGGGATCGGCCGGAACCAGGGTCACAGTCAGATAATCTGCAAAGAATAGTGGATATTGTTAAGAGAACAGGTAAGACAGTTTCTCGATATAAGCGAAACATTATCAGAATTATTTATAACAAAAGTTTTTAATTTTTTCGTGCTTACAGTAAACATGGATGATATTGAACCTATAGAAGATGACACGGAAAAAATACTCACTCCGCAGGAGGAATATCAAGAGACTCTTATCTTCAATAATGCTATTAGGGAGATCTTTTTGAACCGTTTTGTACAAATGTTTTCTAGTTACGAACATTTTGTTATTCAACCAAGTCAGGTATAAACATACAATGTTTTCACAAGACAAAATTAAATCTGCCTTTTGTAATTATAATAAAATGATAATAAATTTTACGTTGAAGGACAAGGATGAATGGATAACCAATAGGGATAGTATGCACGTTTTTGACAAGGCTACGTTTTTATCTGACCAGCCGACTCAACATCTGCCGTTTTTGTCGAGATTTCTGGAAACACAGATGTTCGCTTCTCTCGTTGACAGCAAAGTGATGTCGACGTGGAGCGAACTCGACTGTAATATTAAAGTTTTCGACCAAAGAATCTCCGCTCTAAAGTAAGACATAATGATATAATGCTCTTTTGATTTATTTTTAACGATTTCTATTTAGGTAAATAATTGAAAGTAAAAGATGTAAAAATTTCTAAATTTATCTTTGATCAATGCTGCATTTCAGGAAGAAAGTCGGAGAAAGCATCATACGATCAATGCGATACGAGCCTTGCACGAACATCGCAGATACGCAAAAAATACTCGAACAGAGATTAATTAGCATAGATTTTGAAACAAATCCGCCTACGGAGATTCTTCCTCATAGAGCCGCATATTTTCGGAGTTTTCCGTTGTTGGATAATGTCGCGTTGAATAAAGAGCCCGCTCAAAGGTACATTATTATTTGCGATATTTTTATTTAAAAAACATAATCTCCCATTTTCAAATTCATTAATGTCTGCTATTTCTATTTTGTGCTTCTTGTATAGTATACTTCGGTAAGAGTCAACTTTTAATACAAACAGAATAAAATGACGGGGCTTACAGCAAAGTGTATCATAATTGTAATCTGTAAGGTTTATTTTACAACTAAAAGAATTTTAAGGAAAATCGTATGAATTGTCTGCTTGGTTCATTTTGCTCTGAGTCCTTCAAAAATGTACTTTTGCATGTATCTGTAAATCGTATCGCAAATTATCGTGTCTAATGATATGAATATGTAATTAAATAATTGCTTCCGTTTGTAGTAGTAGAAGAGGACAGACACAATGGAAATATAAGATGAAATCCATGGATACAAATGGAAAGCCTGTAACACCCCAAGAATCTCAATCACCTCGACCTCAAACTAAACTCTCAGCGGACATGAGCCCTGCTTTAATAGCGCAAGCTAATTGGACATTTGTAGAAAAATTGCTCAAGGTACTCTTATGAATATTATTTAATATAATTGAAATTTTATTTTATTTATTATCTAAAATTATTTTTAATAATTTAAATATAAAATATTAATTTTTTAATTGTTCAGAGTTATTTATACTTAAACTATATATTTAATATATAAAAATGACAAAAAAATTGTATTTAAAAATTACATTTATTTCATATAAATTATATATTACATCAGTTTAATATTATATTAAGAATTTAATATGATTATTATTATCCTTAACTATTACAATTGTAAAATTGTCATTACGAAATGTCATTTTTGTGATAAGGATTGTAAATCAAAAACAAAGAGAATGTTAGTGGAGAAGATGGGATCGGAAGCCGTCGCACTTGGTCACGGGGGTGAGTCTCTGTCTGACGTCGAGGAGAACACTTTAGTCGCTAGTCTCTGTGATCTGTTGGAACGAGTGTGGAGCCACGGACTGCAAAACAAGCAGGGCAAGAGCGCTCTTTGGTCGCACTTGACCATGTACCAGGAATCAGAAGAATGTAATGACGCGACTAAGTCTATAGATCCCAACTTTCTTTCCCCTGGTAAGATATGCATGTTTTAAATATGTGTTTTAATGTCGCGTAAATATTGCAGTTCAATATACTTTAATGTTATATTTTTTACTTAATAATATACGCATAAATATGATATGTACGCACATATACGCAGCAGAGAAAGAATCGATTGTAAATTACATTGAATTATCATTATTTTGCGGAAATGCAGCACTAGCGTGGTCCGTGCTGCGGAAGCGACTCGATTGTACGTGTCTCCGTTTTACAATAAGATAATGTATTATAAAGTAGAGATTAGTGTTCTCTTCGTACGTAGATATCCCGCACTATTAGTTTTGTAAGTGATTCACCAGACAATAGTTGATATTACGTGTTTACGCTTCGCCGCACGTATTATTTTAATATTTTCGTATATTTGATGACGAAAAGCGAAATCGGCATTAGCGCGCCCAAAGTCTAAATTAAGCAATAATGTAAGCGATGTTATCATTCTGTTATACCATTATTATATGTTTAATTTTTTTTTCTTTCTTTTTTATTTTTTTTTTATGTTGTAACTAGCTAAGAAATCCTCGAATAAGTTTTTCGAGATACCGGATCGTTTGGTTTCATTTTTGAGAGGCAAAAGTATTATTGAAATTGCTTCTTACGTCAAGGACAATTTTAACGGTAAGCCTTAATATTGGCTTGCCACAAAAGACGGTTTTATGAACTAATTCCATTAGCGGTAATTCTTTTTTTGAAGCTCGTGAATGTTTAATTAACAAATTATTTCATAGTGAGAGTTTGTCGTTACATTTGTCATTACATATTATTTTATTATTACGGTTTTTAAAGAAATTTACCAATATCTTTTATTGAAAAGATTGCATGTCAGATTGCTACAATATAATTATAGATATAATTATATATATATATATATGTATATATGTAATGTATTTTTTATATAAATTATTTATAAAGATTGTGTGTACGTCTACACGTGTTGTTGAATGTTTATATGAAGCATGTTACTGAATTTGCATGTATATTATTGTATGCGCAAAAATATATATTGAATATAATTAGATGAATGTTTGACCAAAAGAATATATTGTCTTTGCTTGTGTTTTGTTCGCATCCCTTGCTTGACTGGAGGGGAATACCTGTATCTAAAATATTTTATATTGTGATAGATTTGTCGAATTTGCAATTGGAGACGGACGTTTCACCTACAAGAGGTACAGAGAGGCACAAGTCTCCCGGTGAGAGGAAAACTGTCGGTCCTGAACACTTGAGACCTCTCCCGGATTCTCTAATCTTCGACATCCGTAATGTTCAAGCGATGACCGATATCAAAACACACATTGGGTACGCAAGAGCGTGGGTGCGGTTAGCGCTTGAGAAGAAATTGCTGTCGCGCCATTTAAAGACGCTACTGTCGGATACTGCTCTATTGAGGTGCATTTTGAGAATTATTATTTTTATTCGATCACACATTTTTGCATGATATATGTGATAATATTAGCAATATTTAATTAATATAAATAATGTTAATAATATTAGATAATATTATTAAATATAACTAAATAATAATCTCCTTGAGCATTAAACTAATTTGTTAGCTTTATGGTTTATTAGGAGTCAGTACAAACGATCAGCGTTTTTACGTTGTGAAGAAGAGAAAGAGCAATTTTTGTACCATCTTCTGACACTGAACGCTGTTGACTACTTCTGCTTCACAAATAACTATCCCACGACAAAGTTACCGTATCGAGTTGTGATATTCCCCAGTCGAAAGGCAAGCGCCGCTACAACTTCAGCTAATAGTTGGATCGCCATTTCTGGCACACTCTGCGAAACTAATCCCGTACCCATACCAAAAGGAGCACTCGAATTTGTATTTCATGTAAGTATTTTAATTTATATATACCACTGCTACACTTAACTGCACAAAATAAAGTTATTAATTTTATTTAAATTGGCCAGCTCTATTTAAACTAATTGAGCTAACCATTTTAGGACGGCTAGTATTCTGAAAATAATAGTAAATGCTCATTTGCAACATTTTAGAAACAGAATTTTTTCTAAACTTAGTATTGTGCAGTAGATTTTATTTCGTGTATTCTAGTTATGTAATTATTCTTGTATTTTTCTTTTTTAGCATAAAAATTTAGGCGTGTTGTCTACGTTACGGATTGGACATGACAATACTGGATTATCACCAAAATGGATGGTGGAACACGTTGTAGTGAGAAACGAAGTGACTGGACACACGTTTAAATTTCCCTGTGGTCGTTGGCTCGGTAGAGGAATAGATGACGGGTCTACGGAGCGTTTATTAGTGGGTGCTTTAGTACCTCGAAGCATTGACAGCGAGGAGTTGGTAGAGTCATGTTCCACACCTCCAAGATGTAGATCTCCGAGCATACCTAGGCGTCCTATATTATCGCAAGTTGAACTGCAACACATGCTCGGTAATTATTATAATTACTATTATTTGTTTATTTATTATATTTTATATTAATTAATATATATTTATATACATTAAAAATATATTAATACATATTAAATTTATATAGTAAATTATAGTCATATAGTAAATTCTTTAAAAAATTAAAATAAACTTATAATTATGTTATTGATAATATGTAAAAATAAAACAAATTTATATAGCATGATAAAATAAAAGATGATACAAATTTTTTTATTGTAATTGATATAAAATCCAGATTATATTAAGAATTAAATAAAATATTATCAAATATAATATTACAGGTGAAGCTGTAAACGCTATAGTCAAATATCACTACAGAAGAGAATGTCAAGATGGTTCTTTGACGGCTCTGCTATGTGGAGAAGGCGGTCTCGTGCCGTCTTTGGAACAAATATTTTTATTTGGTTTTAAGAATCAGAGAATATTTGGGAGGAACTTTTACGTGTGGGACTACCTCTGTAAGTACAAATTTGATTATATTTGATGACAAAATTGGAATTTAGAAAAGTGTATAATTAAAAACTATTGCAGTACGCGTAAAAGAAAATTTCGAGATTTCTCTGCTAGAGGAAATGGACGAGTATTCTCAAAGACTCAACCGAGATAGAAGGGTATACACGGAAAGCAGCCAAAGATTCACGATTTTGAGATGTTATTGTCATCTCATCGATCAAATTAATATTTTTAGTCAAACTTTAGGGAAAGATGGAAAATTTCAGCTATTTATTTGTTTGGCGGCAAGGTAAGTTTATAAAATATTTTTAACGATATTATTCACTCACACAATTCTTTACTTGCTGTTATTTATAGGATCGTTCGTTAATATAATTTTCAGAGAACAGCTTCTTCATCCAATGTTGCGGCCGATGAGTGACGCGCGTTCAACGACGGATATGTACGAGGAGAATTCGTTTTTGAGAAATCCTACTTTATTGACCTTCCTCATTCATATTCTTGAGCCGTTGAGCGAATTCCATATTGTCCTTGAGAAGAGCTTGACTCATGGAATTTCAAGTATATGTTAGTATTTGCCAAAACGTATCGATGTACACTAATTCGTTGCAAATATTCCATATTCTTTCGATAAATGTCGCGAATCGTGAAATATTTTCTATCTTAAAAAATACGTCCGCGGTTTTCCAATGTTATCGGTAGAAGCTATTTGTTATTGTGGTGTTTTTAATTACTGACAAAATTAGATCGATCAAGCTTTTCATGGATAAAAACATATATATTTATTCTTAATTGACAAGAGAGCCGTTTAACTAAATACTAAATAGTAACAAATGACGAATTCGATTGTTATTACGTATGGAACGATAAAAAGCTTGAAATTCTTAATAATGAAATGAAAATTTCATTATTAAGAGATAAATTAGATGGATTTAATATTACAATAAAGACTGTTATGGGGATGTAGCTGTACAATATGCTTTTATGAATAACAAATTAGCGACAAGAGAGATTAACGTGAGATTTGTCAGATATAACATTAAACATTAAGGAGAACGGAAATCTCGTTCTGTTTCAGAAGCGTACAATATTATTGTCGGTGATAAGAAATTAATATATAATCAGAATATATTTGGCCGCATCTTGCCATAGCTATTAGCACGATAAAGGTGGTGTTCGTTGAAATATTGATACTAATGACAAATTGTGTACCAAAGATGTGATCCCATTTAATCAATATCATTTTACATTACCATTGCTGTTAGATGTTAAGTTTCTTTATTATTATACGTTATCGTATATTTTTTATGCATGCAAAATATCTTTCGAAATAATTTTTATACCTGTACACATGTGGACTAATGATGATTTTTGATTCTGTGCGAAGATATTTTCTGAATACAAAGGAATTTATCAAAATATCGGCGCATCTGATGAGTCTCGGACAATGATTTTTAGATAGGCAAATCAAATAATGATTACTTTTTTTTAATGGCTGTGCTTTGATACTTGAAATCGAATATAACTTGTGTTGAACGTGAGTGCTAACATGACAATTTTATGTTATACGTATAATAAGGCTGCAAACTGGTATATATGTTCCAAGAATTATACGTATATGCAAAGTTTCATAATTTTACTACAATAACTGCTTTTGCCCTCTGAATGCTTGAAGATTTACACTTGAGATAATTGTCATTTAATTAATATAATTAATTATTTATATATAGTAAATTTATTATGTACATATATTATATATTATATACATAATAAATTCATATTTTAATCATAATTGCAATACAAGAGGGTAAGAACTGTCACCGAATGTATCGCAAATGGACCAAATGACGTAATCATCTTTAAGTTGTCGTATTTTTGTTGAACCAAAGTATGAGTTACTCGAGAAGATTTGTTCATTCTTTTCATATATATTCAATTTCACATTCGTGGATCAAGAAACATGAACGGGTTAAACTTTTTGGTCAATCAAATATTGCCTCGATCTGAGGATATTGATATCGTTACAAACTTGATATACTCAGCTAGTTTTTGTAAGCAACATGGGATAAGATAATATTGTACACTGTAAAAAATAATTCTTAAAGTACAATCGAGTGTCTCTCGTTGAGTAACACTCAGAACTTCATTGGATAACTGAAAACCTAAGAATTGTTTGATATCTTTTTCAATACTTAATTCCATGATGTTATGCGTGTTGTGTCGCGAATCTCTCGACATTGTGGCCAAATATGAGATTATGATCAACTTATGTGTGTCCGCCCAAAATTTCATATTTAAATATACAGTTTCGTTTGAAAGTCCTTGACGATTTAACGTGATATGTGAGCATTACATTTATTGTGATAGATTTATAATTTAATGTAATCTCAATTTTTTTTCTAATTTATTTCTATTCCGTTATACAAAGATATATAAAATATATAATAGAATCAAAATAAATTAGAAAAATATATGCATATACGTAAAGAAGGAGAAAATACAAGTTGTATAGAGTAATTTGATTATGCATTCTATTGTTTTATTTCTCCCCGTTTTGTCAATGCGTAACTATAGTAAAGTGTATGGCTAATGCGCAGAGTTTAAATATGTACGTTTATGATCTTTCCTTTGTTTGCTGGCCAAACTTCCATTGTCGAGAACACTCTTCTGATCAACGTTTGTTAGAAAGAATGCCAGTACCTTACCATACCTAAAATAAAGTAACTTTAAAATTTTCCGGAACCAAAGATATTTTATGCAAAGTAAATTTCTGCAAAACGCAAATCTCAGGTATATACATGATACAGATATATGCTTAGATGTATATATGCCCCATCCGTGGGTTTACGCATAAAAAAAAACGCATATTTTATGTATTTAGTAACATTGGAAATGCTCTCGTATGATGTCAATGACTATCTCTCCTTTCTTTGTAACTTATTTTTCTGCTGTAGAAAACTTCCTAATGCGAATTTTTTTTCTCTTAATCGTCTTAATTATCCCTAAATTAAATGATCCTCCCATTGCGGTACTCACGGCTGTAGCTGTTAAATTGGACGATATCTCTAATTTCTCTGATACGAAGACTTCGTTATCCACAATCTATCGATTATGTCTTACGCTTCCACAGTCTTTCTCCTGAACGTTTGAAATTACAATTGTGTAGGAGATGGGACATTGTGACGGTGAAGGAAAATGTATACATATAGGTTTAACATTTTATTTAAAAAGTACCGTGAGAGATTTAAGCAACAAATATCAATGGAAAGATCAGATAATCCAAGCTTAGAAAATATAATTTTTACGATATATATAAGTTCCCTTTTTCTTCTTCAGTTCCACTGTGAACCTAAATAACTTAATAGTAAATAATAATTTATTTAATGTTACATCGTCAAGGATTTGCACTTCATAGTTAACTAGC